CAGAACAAATTTATCCCAGGGAGCAGTATTTTCGATAGTGTCTGACAGTGGGAGAGCTGAAAATTCGGCAGAAAGTCAACTTTTTAATAACTTCCAGCTCAACAAAAAGATTATATTGTTCAAAAACAAAAAGTGCTTTCGAACATATCTAAATTTCAACAAATGAAAAAGACATTTTTCAGTTAATCATCGTCGCTGCCGTGTTGTTCTTCTTCACGGATCGATCACATTCAAATCAGAAGATAAACGAAGATTTGAAATATTTCAATCCTCCTGTACTAAATTAGTCACCAAGCAGGTTTTTTAGATTATTGGATCGAATATCATCTATGCAAATTTAGATGATAAAGTCACGAAAAAATATTCTTACACAACTCTAAGATATATACAAGTGAAGTTATAAACCTTAAATAAATACCAAAAAACACTGGGTTTCGTCTGCAAGCTTTANTAAAACAAAATTTTTTATAGTAGAATTACAATAATAACTCATCGAATGAGAAGCTTAAATATTCAAGTGCTAATCCCAGTTCATATATGATTAGTAAACCTACAACAAACATTCCCGGGTTATCTCAGGTTAATTATTTTAATTCTACTAGAAAATATTTTGTTTTTCTACAACTTAGATATATTTTGTCAAAGAATAATACTGAATATTAATTGAGATTAAAGTAATTATAGGCTTCTTCGTATCTATTAAAGATATTAACAACAAAAGTATGAACATAGTTCAGATCATAGTAACCAGTACATGAATATTCAGAACCAATTTATCCAAGGGAGCAGTATTCCCGATAGTTTCTGACAGTGGGAGGGGGGGGGGGGGCAGAGCTGAAAATTCGGCAGAAAGTCAACTTTTTAATAGCTCCCAGCCCAACAAAAAGTGCTTTCGAACATATCTAAAGTTCAACAAATGAAAAAGACATTTTTCAATTAATCATCGTCGCTGCCGTGCTGTTCTTCTTTACGAATCACATTCAAACCAGAAGATAAACGAAGATTTGAAATATTTCAATCCCCCTGTACTAAATTAGTCACCAAGCAGATTTTTCAGATTATTGGATCGAATATCATTGGATGACGTACGTCATAGGCTAAGGTAAAAGATCAAACGACCATGGGAGCTTGTACTTTGAACGAAAGTCAATATTTGATGTTATTTTCTCTCCCAAAGGTCTCTACTTGTCGAACAATGAAGAAACCAAATACACATCAGTCCCTCAGAAAAGATGTTATATCATCTATGCAAATTTAGATGATAACATCACGAAAAAATATTCTTGCACAACTCTAAGACATATACAAGTGAAGTTATAAACCTTAAATAAATACCAAAAAACACTGGGTTTCGTCTGCAAGCTTTAGCAGAAAATTAAGTCGAAATCTTTTTCTGGAAGAAATCAACGCAACAATAGACTCTACGAGACTCTCACAGGAAGAATCTACCTAATGTTATCTGTGTTTTGGGACGAAAAACGAAACAATATGGCTGAGTATTTGCTTAGCCTTGGCTAACGAATTAGCAGTCGCATTTAAGGAAAAAAAAGTTGCGGAATCTATTCTTTGAATTTTCAGTACTTATGACAAGATCAGGGAAAAATCCTCTTTAGCAAAAAAAAAAACGCAGAAATATAGTGAAAAAATTTTGGCAGAAAGGCTTTGAAATTTGGGAGGAAGCCTCATGCCCCCATAATCGATATGCCTTCAGGGAAGTAATCACAACACTTCAGTAACCAAAATTCTCAATCATTTTTAAGAATTAGATGCAATTAGTATTTGTAATAGAAATTTTAAATAATGATTAGAACGAATTTATGTAAATAATTTAAAAAAAAGGTGCGAAGAGAAATGTCAATTTTCCACTTAGCAAAACAACATTTATATCTTTATCGAATTAGATTGTTTTATTAAAGTGGAAGAATAACATTTTTCATCTTGTTGTTTTTTTAGAAGTATTTAAAAGAACTTGTTTTTTTCTACACCATGATAGAATTTTTAGTAAAAATCTCATATACAAAAATATTATTTTAAATTTCTATTATAAACGCTAATTGTGTTTAAGAACTTACCAGAGTCTCAGTATTTATTCAACACTGTTAGGTAGTGATATATATATTCCTCGTTCCATTATCATTGTCGTTCTCTTTCTTTTGTATATCTTTATGTCATTCTCTATTGTTGTGTGTTACTTCATTCGGTTTTTTCCTTCATTATGCCTATATAACGGTTGTCATTAGATTTTGAAGGTGTATATATATATCGAGAGAAGAAAACTAAAGATTAAACTTAACAAGTACCTATCAGCATTTCGCCATTATCCTTAAAGATCTTAGTATCTTTCAACAATTTTTAATGATGCAGTGATGTGATTCACTCTTTAGCATGATCATTATTATTGAAAAACTTCGATTTTTCTTTTTTTAATAAACTTTCTAAGCTTAAATTCAGTTGAAATAACGAAAGATGTTGGAAAGTACATATAGGTGAAGTTCAGATTTTAGTCCCATAGGAACTGTGCTAATAAGTTTTTTTTTTCTTTTATTCTGTAATTAGTCATTGATTATTGTTTGTTTTAGGTTAATAAAAATTTGACAGAATATCTTTCACGTGAAACTGATTATACAGATTGTGTTTCACATGCTATTAATACACTTCGTCTTTATTATCAATCATTAAAAACAAAATTAAAAATATTAGATGCTGAAAAAACATGGTTTGATAATGAACATCGATTTTCAGCTTTAATCGATGATGTATCAATAGTTTTTGATGAACTTGTTTTTCCATTTAATAGATTTACACGACGTCGAGGAGCATTACGAGGTTCATCACTTTATATGCCCGGTGTTATTAAAGCAATAACAAGTGATTGGAATTATAAAAAAATTTTTGGTGCTAAACTTGCCGGTGGTAAACGTAATCATACTGTATGTATTGTAATTGATGTTTCAACATCAATGTTTGGAACATTAAGTATTGGTATTCTTGATGGAATTGTTGTGTTAATTGGTGCATTAAGAAAAATTGGAATTGATAATTTTTCAATAATAGTTTTTGGTCGAAATGTTCGATTAATAAAAACAAATGAACAAGGATGGGATGCATTAACAATTTATACATTAATGGAAGAACTTCGATTTGACCGTGATGATGGAACAAAAGATGCTGATGGAATTGAAGCTGCTATTGATCTTCTTGGTCAATATTCAATACGAGGTGAAAAGAAAATATTTATTCTTACTGATGGTTATAGTAGTTGTGGAAATAAATTAGCTTTGGTTCAACAACGTGCTGAACAAAATGGAATTGATCTTATTGCTATGGCTATTGGAATTGATAAAACAAATTTAGAATCCGTTTATAAAAGATATCTTCAATGTGCAACAGTTAATGGTCTACCGAAAGCTTTACGAGCTTTATTTGAACATGAAACTCGAGTTATTTCACTTGAATGGTCATCAAATAATTCTGATCAAGATAATAAAATCGATCGAAATTTATTAGAAGATCTTTTTGATGAAATTAAATCGAAAAAGATTTTTGAATCAATGATTAATGAATTAGCCGATCAACGTCATATTAATTTGATTCATATTGGTTCACCACCTCCAGATATTATTATGGATATATGTTTTTGTCTTGATTGTACAGGCAGTATGTCTCGTTGGCTTGATGCTGTTAAAAGTCAAATGAGTAAAATCATTTCTGATATTCAAACTGCAATTACAAATAAATATAAATTACTTAATTTACAGATGCGTTTTGCTGTTGTTGCCTATCGAGATGTTGGAGATGATCCACAATTTTCTATTTGTGATTTCACAGATAAAATTGAAGAACTTACTCGATTTGTTAATAATTTAAAAGCAATTGGTGGTGATGATTTACCTGAAGATGTACTCGGTGCTCTTCGTACATGTTTAGCATTACCAAGTTGGAAAGCAAAAACTGCTCGTTTTATTGTTTTAATTACAGATGCACCTGGTCATGGAGAATTGAATGATCAATTTAATGATAGATTTCCACAGGTAAAAAAATAAAAAAATCATTATTTTGTTTATTATATCGATTTGAATAATAAAATGAAATGTAATTATTGATGATTTTTTCTTTTCTATAGGGAGTTGGTACACGTACATTTGAAGAAATTTGTGATCGTCTTCTTACAAAAACTGTTGAAACTGATTT